CACCAATATGGAGCTGAGTTTTCAATTCTACCCCAGCTTTGCCACTCCGGAAACAGGCCATTTGACATCCTTGGACTGCCAAACTGCTCACAATCTTGGGTCATCCTTGGAATCTTATGAACTGTGCAGTCTCTCTTAGTAGATGCTGGTGCTTGGACACCATCAGGTTTCCATTCTGCATGGACAATCTTGTAGTTCTGTCCCTCATTATTGTCCCAGAAGATATGCTTGCCACTTTGGTAAGAAATGCAGAACTCAATCTTTTCTTGAGTGGGAATGGCTGCGGGCAGCTCAATGGCAAATGAGAAGGTGTCACTGTCAGAGTCTCCATACACATTGTTCATGTAGACACAATCTACATCTGTGTATGTTTTCCATGTATCAAAGGTAATTCGAACCTGAACCACCTTCTCATAGCTCATGTTTTTCACTTTCACAGTCCCTGCCACCGCCCTCTCTTGGAGGGTGCAATTCTCAAGACAGACAAAGTTCTTCTGCAAGCGATTCCGGAAATCTAAGTAATCAGCTGAAGGTTGAGGGAAACCTAGAATCAAATTTCTCTCTTCATGTAGTTTTAAACCAGCAGTTATGTCTTCAAGATCCGACAAGTCAAACTGAAGATCCCAGACCGGATGTTCCTGGATTTCAGAGAAGACATGGATTGCAGTCAGAGATAGTCCCTTTGAATCTGCAAACACGACTCGTTTCTTGGCTCGACTTGGGGAGCGGTTCCAGTCACTATTGTTTCGACACTCAGATTCACGTTTCACATTGAGACATGGTCTGAGAGGCTTGAATCTGTTAACAAAGTTTCTTCTTGGATAGTCATCAAGAGGGCTGAGAATTCTCTTCAGAGGTGGTGAATGGGCTAAGCAGATTCTCATGGCCACATCAACAGGCATGATGGAGCTGGGCAAAGGTCTTGGGTCCAAGATCTGTATCATTCTGAAATGTCATCAAGAAAAAAAAAGTTGTAAGGTTGTTTGCTCCATCAAATATAGACTGGAAGAATGTCTTTTCAAAAGCTATGCACACTTCATATTTCACTTATTTATTCATGGCTTGCTCTTTGCATATTCTTAAATAATGCAACTTAAAATTACAGTTATTATTTTCAATGATGGAATCTGAGGAATAGCATGAAAAGTTATTCAAGCATGTTAATAAATTCTGAATTTTTTTGATTCATCCATAGTCTCACCCTTTTTGCTTTTTCCATGAACATCTGTGCAGTATGGTTTCTATGTACACATGTGTTTGGGAAAGGTTTCTTCTTCTTGCAAACATTCATATGAGAACATGGATGAAGATTTTCCATACACCAGCACAGGTATTAGCTTATTCATTGTGGAAATACTCATCTCATTTCAGAGACAATCGGAGTGAGATAATCTCTTTTATTGGACCAACTTCTGTTGGCAAGAGAGAAGCTTTTAAACTACACCAAACCCTTCTTTGGGTCTGATAAAAAGAAGTTACTCCCAGCATCACAGTAAAATGCAAGGTGCAACAGATTTCCCAGCCCTGAAGAGCTCTGTAGCTTGCAAATTAGTCACTCTCACTAACAGAAGTTGGTGCCACAAGGATGTTCCCTTACTCACCTTTGTCACTCCAATTCAGTGGTCACCAACCAGTAGATTGGGATCTACTGGTAGATCTTGGAGCCTCTGACAGGTGATTCTGACTGGTTTGGCCAAGAGGCTATCAAGCGCAGCACTTACAAAGCTGTGGGGGGAGAGGAGGGGAGGAGCAGCTGATTTCCTTTGCTTTGGAGCTGCCCCTCCCCAGGAGCTTCCTGCTCGCAGTACAGAGTAGGGCAGGGGAGGGGGATGTTGATGTCAGGGTGCCCCCTCTCCCACCCTCTCTCTTCATAGAAGGGGGGGGAAGGGGCACAACAGGACTAGGGATGGAGGGAGTTTGCTGGCTGCTTTTTGGAGTGATGCAGGGCCAGGGCAGGGGTGAGCCTGCCTTAGCCCCACTGCACCACCAACCAGGAGCCCCCTGAGGTAAGCAGTGTCCAGCTGGAGCCAGTGCTGAACCTCTGCCCCAGTTATGAACCCACCCTCACTTCCCCAAGCTGCTTCCCCAGCCCTGAGCTCCTTGGACCTAAACTCCCTTACAGAGCCTGTATCCTGAACCCCCTCCTGCACCCCAAGGCCTTGCCCCAGGCTTAGCTTAGAGCCCCTCTCACACTCCAAATCCCTTAGCCCAAGATCAGAGCCTGCACCTCAATCCTCTGCCCAGTGAAAGAAAGGGAGAATGGAGGGAGATTGGAATGAGTAGTGGCAGAGCCTCAGACAGGGCAAGAGTATTTAGGTTTGAGGCAGATCCAGGATTGCACTTAAATTAAAAAAGTGATCTTGTGCTTAAAAAGGTTGGAGACCACTGCGCTAATATCCTGGGACTGAAACAGCTATGGCTACACTTCATGCATCTAATTTCAGCCAAGCAAAGCCCCATGGATTGCTTCAAATTCCCTCTATCAGGGAACAGAGATAACATTCTATGACTCATCACAATGCCAAATTGGTAAAAATGGATGTGTTCACAAGGTGTGATTTGTAAATCAGTGTGTAGATAATTCACACAAGAATGGGCAAACTACTAGATAAAACTGTTCTCCAAAAGTAATTCACTCAGCTCCAAGTGTCAGAGGGATGCCAGATCATAATTTTGGCTGATTAATTTATGTAACAAGAGCATGCTTCATCCCATCTTATGTCATTGGAGTAATCTAGTATAGGAGACTTTAATAAAAGTAACTGTCCTAAAAGCTTCTCTAAATCCCTATGTAAGTAGTCTATCATAGGTCTGCCTGAAAACTATAGGGCTTCTATTTCAAAAAAATTGCAAGTCACTTGTGAAAGATTAATCCACAAATACATACACACTGACAGACTATTTCTTGAACTAGCCATGTCTCTTTACAGTGTAATGATTAAAGGGTTTCAAAGATGGTACATCTTTTAAGACTGATGTAGTCTGACGATAAAATTCTGTTGAGTCATAGGAAGCAAACATTTGCTGTGTCACTTTAAGAAAGCTTTCTGCTTCTGAGTGCTCTCACTAGTATTGCAGAACAATGTCAAAATATAGAGGAAAAGAATATTGCATGCAGATTCTAACTCTCTGAAATCTGCCTGTTATGTCAAGTACTGGAATAAGCCAAAGCAAATTAAACTCAGCTATATAAAACAGAACCAAAACAAACACACATATTGAAGTCCCAAGAACAATTTTTAACTTATAGCTGTTTTGAGAGAAACTCCTTGCTAACTGTGCTTTTTTAAATTTTAGAACACACTTACACATCATTAAGAAACGAGCAGGAGAATAGGAAACTGAGAAAAAACAGTCAGACATTAAGGCCATTTTGGAGATACTAAATGTTACTCTTACTGATGCATGTTAAGTCCTACAATATTTGACATAGGTAATGCTATAAATTATCATTCAGATCCCTCCCACAGGTTCTAAATTCTTGGAAAATGGCTGATTTTACACAAACGTACATGCATGCACTTGCTTAGGTAGTTCAGAGACTCAAAAGTCAATTACGTATGTTAATGTGCGTGAGTGCACCAGCAAATACCCATATATTGCTTCTGCGTTTATAAGGGAGGTTTACAATGCTCCATAGACACTCCCTCAGTGCACTTTTTAGCATGATCAGCAATGCTAACTCTTTCAGAAGGCTTACCTGGTACAATTCAGGCTTAGTTTGCACTGTTGAATGAAGAGTAGAGCATGGAGAAGCGGTGAAGATGAATGATGTGCTTCTACCTCGATTAAATCTGCTTTTGCACAATCTCGTCTCTTTAGCAACTCCCCTCCGCACTAGCTCTTTGAAGACTAGCAGCAAACGTAGGACGCTCGCTCCTACATCTTATCAGACACCGCACAACCCTTTCACGTGAAAGCCTGGGAGCAGCCAATGCCTGAGCAGCTAGCCCCTGCCAAGCAATCAGGGCATGCTCATATTACTGCCTGTGTAAACTCGATAGGCGTGTTGGCTGGAGCTGCCCTTTTAACGAAGGAAGCGAAAAAAAGCATGAAACTTAGTTCAGGACCAGCTGGTTTTAGTGACAGAAACCAATGTATTTTTAAGGTTCCAGAACAGTCACGAGAAAGTGATCCCTGATCTGTCTCTTTCGAATCAGCACTACCATTGGAAACTGCAGAAGGAAACTTTCCATTCTCATACTTTTAATGAGAAAATACACATTTTAAGCTCCGTGACAGGAAAAAAAAAGATTGTCAACCGTTTGGAAACAAGATATTTTAGTCAGTTATTTTAACTAGTGTAGTCTAGAATATAATAGCATGGTTTCTAAGTATTGCTGACTTCACAAGAGTTCAACAGTTTTCTAACTTTGTCCAGGAGGAAGGGGGGGGGAGGGAGATCCAAGGTTATTGGGTGCAGCTAAGCAAAGCCCAGTTCTGCAATGGCATCTGAATAAGCAGACCTGCACAGAGCCCCCATTGAAATCAGTAGCCGGATCCACCTACATGAATGCCGCTGCAGGAATTTACACAAAAGTGTTATTCACATAAGGTGTCTTTTTGACCTGAGATACAAGTGCAGGATTGGGGACTTAATCTTTGTATCTATGAAGGGAGAGGGTGTGTCAGAAAATCTAGGGCAGGGCATTTATTTCTTTTCTCCCAGCAGCTAAGAACATGTGAAACCCAATCTCTCCATTAGGTTTATTTTTCTTTGGTTTCTAAAATATTTATATTTTCAAAGAGGAGGAAAAAATTGCTCTTCAAGTAACAAACCAGGAAAATACCAAATCTAATCACTCATTCCATGCTAACAGAAAATGTAAAGCATGAGGCAGCATACTGTCTAGTACTATAGGTTTGATTGTGGGGCTTATTTATAAAATATGGAGACAAATTCACGATTTTTGCACATAAGCCCTTAATGCTATTTTTGGTTACAAATATCCCTTGTCACTTGTTTTGGCACAGTGCAGAGAGGGTCCCATTTTGATGTTTGTTCACTGAGGCTACATTAAAGTATAAACCTGAATGGTTAGTGAAGTGGCCGCATAATTATAGGAATAAAACTTACCTTTCCTCTATTTCTTTCCCTTTGTACCCCCTGTTGAATTCAGAACTTCATCAAATCTCTGTTTCATGGTCTGTTGTCACTGAAGTAATTTTAGTAAAGTTCTTTGAACCTCTCCCTCACCACTTTTTATTTAGCTGTAAGAAGAATGTTTCAGCTTACTGCTCCAGTGCAAAAGCTGAGCAGAGCACTCCTTGATGCCTTACTGTGAATATCTGGGAGCTAACAAACTTGGAGAAGCCTATTTGCCAATAATGTGTAAACTGTAGTTTAGCATCTCATTGTAATTCGGAGAGCAAAGGAAGGAGACAGCAGCAGGGTTACAGTCTCAGTGGAATGGATTTGCAGACTGAAAGGCTTTCAAGTAAGGGGGTTAAAATGGATTTTACAAGTGGCCTGAGTTTCCAAGCAGCAAAGAAGGGAATATGCTGCTGCATTTGTAATATAGATTTTCAAAATGAAATTGAAATTGTTTAACTGTGACTATTTTGCAAGTTACTGTTAGAATGATCTTACATACTTTGAACAAACATAACACCCAGCCTTAATTGTGAAAATAAATCTTTTGCACTACTCTTGGTCATAATTTGCTATGGGGAAAAAATCTGTATGTAGTTGAACATATATATCCTCCTGAACAATGTAAGACACTCTCTACACCTCTTTACCAGTTAGAAAAATAACTTTTGCACATTTCATTTTTATTTTTACACACAGTTCTGTGATATTCTGTGTGCTATAGGACCTATGAAGTTGTTGAGTTACACTATTATATAACGGTCAGACGTTCCCTTTCTTTATCCTTGGAAAAGTGGCAAAAAATTCCCTATTGTGTATACGTTGGGGCGAAGGTACTGCAAGTCACTCCACTAATACGTGCTCTTCTCTGGTGCCACTACAGGCCCAAGGTCAGGAGGGCTGGCTTGAGTCTACAGCTAGCATGCAATAGCCAGGAAACTGTACTTGGCTGCAGCATGCTGCCAGCAGCAGAGTGCAGATTTCCCATATGCAATTCACATGGGAGTTACTACTTCTTGTGGGCTAGGTAGGCCATGGTTTTCACAGACCAGCGTAGGCTTTGATTTCACTAGCCATGTACATGTTGGCCTAATCTCTCTCTCTCCCCACAAGATAACGACCCTCATGGCACCAGAAGATGTGACTTGAAATCTGTTACCTGTAAATTGTGGTAGTTAGGGTTGCCAGTTTCAGTTGGATGTATTTCTGGAGGTTTCATCACATAATATAATATTTAATTAAAATTAATCTTTAATTCCTGGAGACTTCAGGACAATCCTAGAGAGTAGGCAGTTCTAAAGTATGTTTTACCCTGGCACAGATTTATTCACAGAGTAGATTTTACACAGCCTTTGGTCCAGCCACATTAGCTGATTGTTTTTTGTTTCTGATCCTGAAAGGTGTGAACAAATCTCTATTTCCTGGATTGTTGTCACTGAAGTGGTTTATTAGTAAAGTTCTTTGAACCTCTCCCTCTCCACTTATATGTAATAGTTTGTTAAACAGTAATGCATAAAGCATGTGACAGTATGTGGGGAGAAGGTGTAAAATGGATTATCTGTTTTGGACACAAGCCATCTAAATGTAGAGAGAAGCTAACCTAAAGGCAAGGAGAAGCGCTGCTGGTTTTGCAATTATTCTGATCTACTTAATTTACCTTCTTTTGAGATGTTGCATTCAATGATCAATACTGTGTTCTTATACATTAGATAATTCATGTGGCAATAAGATTTGGATTTCTGAGCTAATGTCCATGGTGACTGACACGCTGTTGTTTATGCTTGAAGTACTTGAAGGCACCTGTCATACAGGCAAGGATATTCTAAAGTTTTAATCTTTTATACAAATGAGGCTTTTCAGAGTGGAGTTTGTTTTTCACTAGAGCTATAGGTATAAGGAGACCTTCTCCCAACTATTACTTTCCAATACCCTTCCTTTTTTTGCTCTCTTTCTCTTCCTTATGAATGAAGTAGCTGCCCAGCTCTTACTCAGAGATGATAGTTTCAGTGACAACCTGGAGAAACAGAGAACACAGAATTCATTTGAACTTTTTGTGCAAAGTGTCTCTCATTCTTTTGAGTAAGAGCCTGAAGATCCATCAGCCCTAAACTATTTCATGATAGCATTAACCAAGCCACAAGATCCTCTGAATGTGATTGAACAGGATCAGGAATTATGTTGGCACTTAACAGTCATGCATTTACATGTGTAATACATTTGTGTCTCAGATCAATACCTCATGAACAAATATTTGTTGTTACCCATTGGCAGTCTCAGTAAAGTGAATAGAATCTAAGTCAGTTTTTCACCCCTACAAGAAGACCCTTCAGGTTGCAGTAAAGCAAATTAACAGGGTGATGTAAGATAGCAAGGCAGATTTCATGAGAGCTCTAGTTGCCAGTGATGTCCATTTGGCATCTTCCATTTTACAGAGACATCATCAACTTAAAAATGTTTGATTTTTTTTTTAAACTTAAGACCACATGCAACAGTACTTTGTATATAGTCAGTTAGTTTTCCAGTTGTGCGTGAGGGTCTTCCATACAAAAAGATTCGAGAGAAAAATAGTTCAATAGAAGTAGACAATTGTGATTGTAACCCATCCCTTTCCCCCAAACAATTGTCAGGTGCTGTACCTGAAATTAATTATGCTCACCTTTTTAAAAAAGACTAGATTTCACTCTCTCCACCCTTTAAATGCACACACATACTTTACTGAAGTTGTGATTCTAGTTACAGTTGACCTGCAGTACAAAGATTTTTCTTAGTTTCCAGCCTAGATTCTCCATAAGCATGCAGCACATGGGTTAACTTTTCAGAGTTTACAAAGCATGCTCTGTCACAAGTTTCCAAATCAACTTTGGACTCCTCTGGAGACAAAATTATATCATTCTCACCCTACAAAGAATTCTTTTATAGGCAGGTTACACCACAGCTCTTTCTGTTTCAGCCTCTCCTAACTAACCCACTCTATTTTGTTACACAGCAGCATTTAAAGCAAATTATAAATGTTTGCACATTTTCACATCAGCTAACAGACACCTAATGGTTTGCTTGTTTGTTTTCATCTCCAGTAATTTTGCTGCAGGGGTAGAAAGAAAGGGCTGCTTTTTAAACCCCAGTTCCAAAACTAACAAATTCAACAAGGTTTCAGGGTTCTTTATTTGGGTTGATTGCTCTTAGATTGTTGCTGCAGGACATAGCTCTAGAGGAGGGAGGAAAGGAGATGTGTTAGAGCTGATAATACTGAGAAGCCTTGGACAGCTAATCAGATCCATTTGAACAAAATCAAACCACAACTACCTACCTTTTTGGCAGAGTGGAGGGAAGGTGAGGAGGGAAAGAAAAATTGTAAATGTAAGCAGGGGCTGAACTGCTGCTTGCTGTCAGCCAGCTGAAAGGAGGGGTGGGTGTGCCCACTACAGTTGTTTAGCTCTACAAGGTAATTAACTGTTAACTGTTGACATGTAAATACTGCTCAGGAGAGAATCCAAGGTGTGGCTATGTAAATCCCATTCAGCCAGGGCTGATGGAGGGTCAGTGTTGGAATGGAATGTGGAGAATTGTATATAATTTGGGACTGTTGTGGGGGTCACTAATCATGCTACCCCTAAATGTGGGAACTGTCAAACATGCCACCAGTGCTTGCAGGAGAGACACCACCATCATGGCAAGAGGTCTCGGAAGAACAAGCCTCCCCCCTTCCAGAGTTGAGAGAACAGAGCTGGGGGAAAGGGTTAAAGGACTTGAGTCAGCCTGCTTCACACCTACCAGGTGTGAGCTATAAGACTGGCCCAGCCTGCACCTTTCCCCCTTTGTTTTAAGGACAGACCTAAAG